GCCACTGAAATGTTAGTAGCAATTTCTGCTCAAAAGTCTTGCCAAAATAAGTGGTTGTAAAAGCTTTTTTAAATTACCTACATTATTGAACCTCAAACACAAATTGCTACTACTGGAAAGCTTAAAAAAAAAAAACAATACCTGAGATAAATACAATTCAGTTGCATTCAATATGTGTTTCAAACACTTGTACTATACTTTCTTGTCTTCTTTCTACACATATAGCTTCTGATTACTTGAGCATATTAAAAAAAAAAAAAAAAAAAAAATGGAAACATCAAGTATCTATTTGCTGTGCTAAGTAATTATAGTTCAACTGAAACACAAGGAGCCTGTATCTGGAAGGCAACCCCCATATCTTTATGTTAAAACTATGCAAAAGACCAAACATTTTGTACCACCTGGAGCCTTGGAACAAGGATCACAAATGTATTTTAGTTATTACCAGACACATGCGGAATACACAGAAATGAAAGTTATGTGGGTGTAAAGTTTGGCCAGTCCCAATCTCCATTTAAAAAAGTAAAAAGAGCCAAATAGCTGCCCCACCAGTAAAGAGATAAACATTCCTCCCCAACAGATCATAGGGTGGCTGTTGATGCCTGCTGCTCATTTGTTGTGATGAGCAAACATGATAGCCCACAGACTGCTTTTCTGCAAAAAGGTGGGGGAAGTCTGCTGAACATTTTCATATCTCATTATTAAAGTTAACTTTGCAGACCTAGTGTTTTATATGCTAATGGCTTCATGCCAGACGAACGATTACTGTAAATGTGTCAGCTAAACAGTCCAGTGACAGGTCCATATGTGCTCTATAAAGAAACTAGTAATGCTCACCCTGATCAAAACCAGAATGATTGACTCAAAATTTCAGGAGCTCAGAAATATAAAGACTGGTTAGAGATCTAAAACAGACGTAAACAGATTACCTAATTAAACACATTACCTAATACCTGCTGCAATCCCCATCCTACCCCCACTCCATATTGCATCCATGTACAGGTTCTCCAAACCAAACAACCTCTGCTCCTAGATGCAACAGCACATAATTGTTTTGCAGATGACTAAACAAGTTGGAAGATGCTGCTGCCGCTGGGTTGACCATCCACCCAATGGAGTTGTCATTGTGGGGACTGTAAGAATGATTGGAGAGAGTCTTTTGTAGACTTAGTGCAAAATCATGTGCTTCTGCAGAGGTGACAACTTTCTCAAAGGGCAGGTTGGCAAGAGAGGAAGGTGACGCTCAAAGCAGTGCCCTGTACACTCAAAGGGAGATCAGTCAGACTTCTTGCCACTCTCTACACCCATGCCACTCTCAAAAAGCAATTTCTGGTGGCAAATACTTCAGATTAAGAGAGTACGTGTATCTTAAGTCCCAAAAATCTTAACTGTTTCTACCAACAGAAACTGGAGATTTTACAAAGATGGTATTATATTTTGGGTCAGCTTTGGGTTCAGTTTTTAAAGTCGAGTAAGAGATAACACTAACTGAAAATAGTCTGGTATTGTTTCAGAAGTAATTAGTTTCCTTCGTATCATCAACTTCAAGAGCTTTAATATGTTATTAATTTTCAGCCACGGCGCATGTCCTTTTTAAGTAATCAGCTGATGAAAGAGCCTGTGCATGTTGCTTTTGTTCAACAGCAGACCTGAATTTGATATACTTGAATCCATTTGTACCGTATAATTTATTTTCACAATTTTCAGACTACTTTTCAAATTATAGTGATCACTTGAAGGTTAATATCCTCTCCATTGCATTCTGAAAACCAATGATTTTTATTTCTTCTTAGTTTAGAAATGAGAGAATATAGACTGACTCTATATTCTGTAACTTTGAAATGCGTATTGGGTTTAATCCAACAAATCTGCAATAACTGCAAACACTACTGAAAAGTAAAAATTCTGGACTAAGTTAATTCAAGGTAAGATTCCACAGACATTTAGGTTTCATCGTGACCAGTCACCATCAACTTGTTAAAGCCACATTCTTCATGTATACGTTAGCATGAAGCTTCCTTCAGCCTTTTAGAGGTTATTTGGATTGGATTGCTAAACTTTTAAGAATCAGTCTTCTCCATCTTCTTAACTCTTTTTTGCAGTACTTGGAACATATTTGTTCCATATGTTTGGAACATAGATGAACCAGAAGCCAGGAATGGATCAATGTAGGATTGTTATGGGTTTGTTATTAGCGCGCACCTAAAGGCTGCAGTACAAGGGTCTATACTAAGGTGGAAAGAGTAGGCCAATAGTGGGTTGGAAGCTGACCTTAAGGTTGATCTTAATGGCTGCTGTGGACATATGCTAACTGTTTTCTGTCCACTGGAAGCCAGGAGAAGAAACAAAATAAGTGAAGAAATAATTAAAATCCTATGTGCCCCTAACTGATGAGAAAACTCAATCAAGCATTTTCCTGCCCTGTGCCATGGTGGGGCCTACTGAAAAAAAAAAAAAGAAAAAAAAAAAAAAAGAGTCCTGAATAAGCACACAGCAGACAGGAACAATTCTTCACTGTTTTTGTGAACACAGCATAAAAATTCACGTTTTTGTAATCATTCTGTATGCACGTTAGATTAGCTGAAATAATCAATTCTGATGTGTCACTGAGGTTCACTTCATTAATCAAATAGTATTATGTAGGAGGAGCTAAGAAGTACAGTTTATTGCCAGTATGCCCACTAAGCCCAGTCTAAATAGGCAAGTCACTTCTCTTTTGGTACCATTTCATAATGAGCAAAGTATTACTCTTAAATAAATAAATAAATAAAATACGTTCACCCTTGACTTTGTTGGCATATCTTCAAGTGTCACGTCTTCCATGGCTGTGAAATGAACAGCTGCTACAACTATAGACTTGTGGCTTGGCTTGTTAAGATTTTGTGGAACTGCAAAGTTTTTTCCAGCAACATCTCTCTTTGTGTTTGTTGATTATGGTTTCTTTTGACGTATCTCCACATTTTTATGCCCATTCCTTTAGTGTCTGGTCTTTCTTTCCATGTATTTACTTAGTTATGGTCTCTCACATTTTTCCTCATTCTGAAAATTGACTTTTCACCTCCTCTAAGCAGTATTTATGCATTTTAAAGCAAGTTCAGTTGGTGTTTAGGTCTCAGGATTGTATAAGTTGTTGAGTTCTTTCTGAATTCTAGTAAAAAATATTCCTCTGCTTCTACTTTCTGAATTTTATCAAAGACCCACCCTCTGCTTCTGACTCTGCTGAAAAGATAACAGCAGCAAAGACTTTGGTTACCGTGTTCTATGTTCTATTTGTTAATTTTTATTTACAGTGGTTGTTTTTGGTCTGTTTGTTTTGTGTGTGTAATATAGTATTAACAGTATTAAAATGCAGTATTAAAAGGCACCAATGAAAAAATTCTTTGAATTAAAGAATGCATGAGCGATAGTGTCAGAAGTATGACAAGGGATAGTAAGTAATGTTAAAACATGTAATCGTTTGTTAAAGGACCATACCATGAGAAATAATGTAAAGGTAGTGGATAAAACTTCGATTCTGTTAAAAATACCTCATCACAGGTTTCAGTAAAGCCAGCAGTTTCCTTTTAAGGATAACAACATCACTAAAGCAGTGTGGTCATAAAAATGTTAACGTGATCCTTAAAATTATTCTAAACAGATAATTTTAGATAAGATATGGAAGTACTAAGACCACTGTACCTAGCAGTGGTGAGGCTTTATCCAGAGTACTGAGTACAGACCTGTTTACAAGAAAAAAAAATATATTTTTTTTGTGGTTTACATGAGCAGAAAATAAAAAAAAAAAAAAAAAAAGCTGAAGAAATAGGTGTGCTACCTGAAATATACATTATTATGGGGATGGACATAAAGAGAATACCTGTTCAAGTGAAGGGCAATTATGGATTATGAACAAATATACAGAAAAAAACGGGACAAGGTGTAGGCTAGAAAACAGAGGAGGGTCCCCAGCCAGCACAGCAGGGAGACTGCAACCACGTTGGCAGAACCAAAACCAGACTACCATTAGTGGAAAGCTGAATGAGTTTATGAGGATCATCGCAAAACAGACCACTGCAAAAGTAGATGTGTTTTCAGCCCTGATCAAAAGAACATGGGCAATAGGATGTCTTCAGAAAACATTTTGTCCCACTTGGACATTTTGTACTCATGAAGTCTAAATTCAAAGATTCCAGAGGATCTTCTAGTTTTGTGGTCCCATTTTATGCAAAAGCTTCCAGTGCTTGAAGGGAGGTGAGAGAAATCACAAAGGTATTTCAGGAAAAAAATACTAAACTAAGCAAGAAATGATAGTATCAAGGATTCCTAAATAGAGGAACCATATAACAAGTTTTCATAACGCTGAGCATAACCCTATAAACTAGTGGGAATCAAAGGTACTCAGTACCTGAGCAAACAAAGAGAAACTGCTCCGTGTTTTGAAGATTATCATCTTCTAAATAAATTATTTCTCTTTCCAGTTCAGTCTTGGCCTGTTGACATAAAAGGCAATGTTTTCACTGATGTCAGCAACATAGGAACAGGACAAGTTTTTAGAAGAACTATGTACCTAATGAATCAAGAGGTTTGTTCCTATCATTCATTATGATTTTAAGCCAGATGCAATGTTTCTTTCAAAAAAAAAAAAAAAAAATCTGTGATAAATGTCTACTTTTAAACACTGAAATTTCATGAAAAGCTTTGGAGTTTTGTTTTTAATCTTCTTTGATCTTACTTCTTTAATCTTTCACTGAGAACAAAAGATTTGAATTCTTGTTTTGACTTTTTTTTTTTTTGTCACTGAACATACTCAGATTAATAATCTTCAGGAACATTCCACACTATAATAAAATGTGTCCCATGTGTCCTACTCTCCCCTTGCTTTTCCACCTTTACAAGGGGAAAAAACACGTTTTATTATGTTATTTTTTGTAAATTGAGTGCTTTTCATAGAAAGGCAATTTTATTGTTGTCATTCAGTCTGGATTACAGACAAACCTTGAGCATGTACATAGTTGCTCCAGGCTGCACAAATACCTGTTTTTCCTCAGAAGACACCAGCATATCTAGAAAGTCCTACAGCAAATAACATTTTCTGAGATTTCTTAAGACCTCAAAAAATATTTTGGTTGTGCTAGACACACCTATACATATAATTTCCTTCTCTTCCATTTGGACATGCTCAGTATGAATGGTGAAATGATGAAGGGCAGCCTCTCACATTCTCAATCACTTAAATATTCATTACCCCAAGGAAAAGCCTACCAATTATTAATGAATTGGAAAGACAGACAATCATTAAGGTAGCCATACAAACATTTAGTTATTTGCTAAATTACTCTTAAGTAATTCAGTTACTCCTACCTTGAGTATTGCATGCTGCTAATAAAGAAATTTAACCAGTATCCAAAGGCCTGAACTTCAAGAGCCTGGTCCAGTAAAACATCCTTAAAATTGAGATCCTTTGCATTGAGAATTTTAGTTCAAGTTCCTCTCTGCTTGTCAGGCTCATTACTGTACTCAGAATGAAGGCTCCTGAGGACTGAAATCAGGCAAGAATAGGCTTAGCAGGAACAGGAGAAGTGGTGCACTGGTATCAGTCTGAAATGGATTTCCTTTTCATCCCAAGAGAAAAAAAAAAAAATAGTGCAGGCTGGGGGTATTGGAAGTTACTAAGAATTACAGAGGATATTTCTGGCTTGCTTGCCTCAAGCTAGTTAGATATTCTAATAGGAGCTTATACTGTTTCAAGCAACACCAATATTTTAATAAGACCTTTTACACATTTAATGATTAATAAGGTTATATTAAACACCCTGGAGGCAGAATTTTCTTTTTGAAAAATGATAAACCATTTCCAAAACAATATCTGTAAAATACTAAAGGCTGTGAGTAGAACAAAGTTCTATACATTCATTCAAAGGAATAAAGATTGTGTTCATACGACAATGGTAATTTATAACATGGGCCAAAGGGGAAGGAATATCTGAAAGCCATAGGAAATTTATTTTTAAAACCTATTAATCATTTTAATTGTTTCTAAATGTTTTAAAAGGAGAACAATGTTTTCAAAACTGATGTTTTCAGCAGTTTCTGCTCATTCTGGAATGATCTGTATTTTATCCTTGGAAATTCCACAAGACTCAAGTATTTTCTATATGACAAGAAGGACAGAAAACTCTTTTTGTGATAATCAAGGTAAATACACAAGTTTGTCTCACCTAAGAGTCTTATTGATTTAATTCTCAAAAATACAGTCTTAGAATACTGAACCTACATGTCACAGAAACTATGATATTTTATAAGGCAATATGTTCCTGGCACAGTCTGATTAAGACACACAGAATGTATGAGACTCTGCACTTGAGACATCAAGACTTGTTCCAGTGTGCTGCTTTGGCATCTTTAACCTTCTTCCTTCCTGCAGCAGGAAGGCTCTCTTCTCCTCCCCTCTCCTCTCCTGGGTTGGTGTACTTCAAGAAGTATCCTAGTCTTCCTCCTCTTGCAGAATGAGACCTCCTTTAAAAGTAGTTAGATAGGCAAACACATTCTCCCATATCTGTCTTACCTCTGAAATATGCTGCAGCCTAAACAGCATCATACGTCCCCATCTTTCCTAGGGTTTCCTCAGCCTTCTTGTAATACCCCTCAACACCTCTATCTTCATATTTCCAGCTGTCCAGGTTTTGGAGCCCTCCTCCCCCAAGATGTTAACACATTTGTAGTCTCTTTCCTCTAGTCTCTTTATAGCTGCACCTACTTTAAACTTACAGCATTTCTCAGTCATGTGCTCTATTTGGATATTACAACACCCATAGAAAATTAGCTTCAGTTATAACCTCCATAAAAAGCAAAAGAACAGAAAGAAATATGAGTTACAAGCCCAGAAGTCGTCATTATATCTCCCTCATAACCCACACCTTACCAGCCTCACTCAGTAACACATGAAATTACCTACTAATTACTAGTTTAGCAAGAGTGCAACTTCTAGAAGGCTTGTGACTGCCTTTCAGAACTGCAGTTTCCCTCTCCCAGAGTCTTTCCTTATAATCAGTATAGAGCCATGAATAAAATTGGTTCATTTCAAATATATATAGACACATTGGTCCCATAAAGGAGAGCACATCAAAATGTTTTTTAACAAATATAATAACACAATTGCATTTCTAAGAGGAAAGAAAAAAAAAAAAAAAAAAAAAAAAAAAAGGAAAGAAAGAAAAAACACATTATTTTCTTGTCTATAATAATTCTGAACTTTGACTTCTGTTAGACTTACCTCCTGATTTATTGGGAAAAGAATTCGTTCCAGTAATGAATTGAAGTATTCATAAGTGCACTGGGATCCTTCAGGCTGAAAGACATTTCCATAAATATAATACATACGATCCTAACAATACAAACTTCTTGGATATATCCAACTATGAGCAGATAGATTTAGATGCAAAACAAAATCTATTATATAAACTATTTAGTAAGCTCCTGTAAGTTAAAAAACAGTCCTTGTCTTCTAAACAGAGTTTATATTGGCATTTTTTCAGTAAAAGGAAGATTACCTTCTGAATTTGTCAAGAACAAGAACAGCATTTTTCCAAGGAAGTGGTCATCCTGACTGACTCATTCATCTGAGTAAACTGCTCTGTTCTAAATATTCTTTTTTCTCCTTTTCCAGCAAGGGTAGGAATCAGCTTTAGGTTGATAGGCTCTTAAGCTATTGACAGTACATACGTAAGCAATTTGACTATGCTAAGGGTTACCCAGCTCAATAGACACGAGCACAATGTTGGAGACAGCACTGGAAAAGTCACTGGGTGTAAGTAGCCTCTAGAAAGTAGTTTACAAATCATAGAATGGCTTGGTTTGGAAAGGACCTTAAAGATCATCTAACTCCAACCCATGCCATAGGCAGGGATGCCACCCACTAGATCATGTTGGCTGAGACCCCATCCAGCCCGGCCTTGAACACCTCCATGAATGGGGCATCCAAAATTTCTCTTGACAACCTGTTCCAGTGCCTCACTACCCTTACAGTGAAGAATTTCCTTTTAATGTCTCATCTAAATCTATCCTTTTTTTTTTAGTTTAAAACCATTCCCCCTTGCCCTATCATTATCTACCTGAATAAAGAGTCCTCTTCCATCCTTTTTATAAGAACCCTATAGGTATTGAAATTACCCTTTCTAATAGCATAGTAGTTTATAACATTGAGTATTGGGGTACTAATTGTGTTCCTGTTAAAAAATAAAAATAAAAAAATAGCATGAAAGACAATCACATTATGGGAAAACTAGAAAATTATATTATCATTAATTTTAACCAAAAAAAAAAAAACACTTTTGTGGCTGCCACAACCTGTGACTGCATTAGGTAAAATCTTGTCCCTCCATGAAGTTGTTTGTTGAATCACAGCCTATTAGCCCCACAATGAAGACTAAAATTAAGATTTAACTTATAAACTATTTATAAAGTATGTGTCTACAAAGAATAGTTCAGAAACTGAATAAGCAATCAGAAACATAAAGCTCATGTAAAACCCATAAGAAATACTCCCCCACTTTAAGGAACACAACTTGATGAGGTACAGAACTGTTTTCCACTGCATAAATAAAAGAATGTAATTAGAGTTAAAGATGTGAACTGATTATGAGTAATAGCTTTACTACAAGTCCAAATATAAGCAAGGCAAAGAAGTGTTAGCATTGGAAAGAAAAAAAAAAAAGAAAAAAAGAAAAAGAAAAAAAAAGAGAAACCCCTCTTAAAATGCTATTAAGAAGTGATAAGGAGAAAACTTTAAACTGGTATCTCTCTGCATTTTTCCCATTCATCATATGGGCCAGGCAGGAAAACTCCACTGACAGTATTATCCAGAACCGTCACAATGTTTGCAAAGACAAGTTACATACAAGAAAACATGCTTACGTTAATGTGTTTTAACAAAGCATTGGAATTATAAATTAGTTCCTTGAAGTAGTCTATTTACTTCTATTCCTGTGTTCTCTACAGTAGCTGGTCAAGTAAGGTTCTTCTGATTAAGCTTGTGTGATATATACCTATTTACTAAATATACCTATTTGCAAGGGGTTTGTTTGTTGTTGTGTTTTTTTGTTTGTTTGTTTGTTTTTAAAAGACACTAATGATGAAAACTAGAGTAGAGAATTAATTTTGTTATTTCAGGCTCAGCTCAGCCCCCAAAAACTCACCACAGGAACTTTGCTTTTCTGTTTCTTACAAGCCTTGCATGGGACCAATTAGCTTAAAGCACGTTACCCTGCACAACACAATTCAAATAGTACAAAATATTGAAGCTGAAAGTTAACTTGCCTTTCAAAAGACATATGCCAAAACCTCATGGTTAAATTCCCATCATTTTTTTTCCTTGTGTGAGAAGGTGTGCTGCATGAAGTTGTGTTCAGAAAGAGCATTTTTAATAAAGTTTATAGAACCATACAGGAAAGAAGTAGCAAAGAATACACTTTCAGTAATAAACCAGACACGTTCAGGGCACACAGTTAATATAAGAGACAAAATATAAATGAAATTGTATTCACATAATTCAGACAGAGATAATACAGGACTGTGCTGTTCCAAAGGAAAATTAGAAATCTCACATAGAGAAATATCCTTCAAATTCTACATTGTACATTGTTAGGACATCTGGAGATTCTTTGTTCTTTGCAATTCCCACTTCTCCTAAACATCATTATTAAAGTGTCTAATAAAAACTGCTGGCAAGTCCTAAGTATTTCATAACGGATTTGGCTATCTTATAAGATAATATCTTGTTAGGATGTGAGGCAACAAAAAAACAATAAGTGAAAAAACTTTCAAGTCAGAGGAGTCAATACAAAGCAGAATAATAATAATAGGAAAGTACTCTCTTTACTCAGTTGCAGCATCCAGACAAGTTCACATTACCCAAAGGAAATGGCAGGAGCCTCCTTGTGCTAAACAAAGCAGCAAAGAATACACTGAGAAAAGAACAATCATGAACCGAAGGGAAGATAAACAGACGCTCAAGGGGGAAAAGAGAAAAAGAGAGGAGGGAAAAAAAAAAAAAAAAAGTCCAGACTTTAGTTTCTGTCTCTTAGGCCAACTCCTGAAATATGAGCACCCATGTCTTGAGGAAGGGAGGGATAAAGGGGAGGCTGCCAATCAATTTTCCAGATTTGTTAATTTTTTTTTAAATGGTCTATGGATTTCAGCTGCTATATCTCATTTGCTGGTCCTTTAAATTATTTTGACGCCAGCATGACTCTGTTAAAACCAGCAGGGTTACGTCATAACAGAGTGGAGAGTTAGGCCTGCTAGTGTGATTGTTGGTTGCTAGACTGAAGAAAAAAAAAAAAAACAAAAAACTTTGTTTGCACTTCACGTAACATCTTTTAATCACTGCATGGGCTAAACTAATCCAAGAGACATCAGGCAATTCCTGTGTTTGGAGAACATCAAAGAAGCTCCATTTCTGGTTTCCTAATCTGGGACGTTACTGAACTGACGCGACAAATAGCCTGGACATCATAACTCTCAGAAGACACTTCTAATCCCACAGATATGATCAGCAAACTAATAGAATGTGAAGCCAGAAAGAGCCATCAGGTCATCTAGTCTGCCCTTTCACATATCCTGGGCCAACAAATTTCATCCATGTCATCCCAGAATTAAGTAGTTTGCTACAGCTGCTGGCAATCATTTGCAGGAACAGCCAGGCCTGAGAGGTAATTAAGTCTGCAGAAATACCAGTCTAGGACCCTTCTTCAACATTAAAATCTGGTGTAGAGGTCACATCATTACATTGTTTGAGTCAACTGCTTTTTTAAAACTAGCATTTACTGTGCTGTTAAACCTATTATTTCTCCCTATGTATCTAAAGACAGTAGGTTGTTCCCATTTACACAGTGACAACGGATTTTTGTACTTCTTGCTTTTTCCAGGCACTCTGACTTGAGATGGCAGGAAGTGCAGCTAAAGACAGTAAGGTTATTTAATTGCTGATATACTTCCAATGCCCCACAGGTTATGTGAAGGATTTTTGTTTCATTTTTTTTATCTTTTTTTTTTTTCCTTTAGGCTAGAAACTGAAAAAAGCATTTATCTGCTTGACAGAACTGTTTTCATTTCATAAACTCAGATATAGAGAAACTGTATTGCTAACAAGGAATATATGATAGAACAACAGGAAATCATCACCCTTTCCACTTGATCTGAACACTATTACTGAATACAGGCAGACCTCTCTTCTTCAGCTTCCTTTTAGTTATTGTGTAAAACTGTGTAAAATATTGTGGAAATGGTGACAAGTGGCTTAACGGGACTCATATCATTCAACTGCTTTAGCAAATCCCACTTCTCAAATTCTGGTGATAGCCACAATTTTTCTGTGATCTATTTTGATTAAAGTGTATGAAGTTATACAAAAGTCAGGTTAAGGTTTTGCCAGGCTTAAAGAAAAAAAATAATTGAAAAAGACCTAAGTAACCAACCTGTACAGCACTTTGTAGGGACTGTGCAACACGGTAACTCAAAATGCCATTTTTTTTTTAAAAAAAAAAAAAAAAAAAAAAAAAAAAAAAAACTTTAAATTTGCCACATTTACCTTCTATAAATAGAGTGGGCTTAGGAAGGTCCTGAGAAAAAATGCCACAAAAAAAAAAGCAGCTCAGATCATATTTGTATTTCACAAACCATTTTAGTGGTGGTGCGTGTACTTAGTTTTGATGCCTCCAGTGGGGTGGTGGGAGCAGACACAGATCTACAACACCAGGCTTAAAAGATGAGCCCTGGCTTGTTAACACTGGAGACAAATCTGACATGTATGGCCACTGTCAGGTTTTCCCATAAGACAAGGAAGGAGTCAGAAGTGGCTGCCACTATAGGGTCCAGACCTTTATATTTGGCAGATCTGGGAATGGAGAAGGCCTTCATGATCTTTTCCTGCTCTCCCCTGGTGGCTCAGATGTGGAAACAGCTATAGCTGAAAAAGTAAGGCTATAACCCTGGGAGATGGTTAATCTCAGTGTCTTTTGGAAACCAATTATGAAGGAATTGATGACATTTTTAAACACCTCCCATACTACAATTTGTGTCCATTCCCCCTTGTCCTGACATTGGACACCTCTGAAAAGAGCCTGGCTCTGTCCTCTTTGCACCCTCCCTTCAGATATTTATACACAATGATGAGCCTACACATTGATTAGATCCCCCCTCAGCCTTCTTTTCTCCAGTCTAAACAGTCCCAGCTCTCAGAGCCTCTCCTCCTCACAGAGGAGAGGTGCTCCAGTCCCTTCATCATCTTGGGGTCCCTTCTTTGGATTCATTCACCAGTATGCCCATGTCTCTCTTTCACCGGGGAACCCGGAACTGGACACAGCACTTCAGTTGTGGTGTCACCAACACTGAGTAGAGGGGAAGGGTTCCTTGACCTGTTGGCAACTCTCTTTCTAATGCAGGATGAGGAAGGAAATGCCAAGGGGCCTTATCTTCACATGCACAGAAACACATATGGGTGAGCACAATGTTGTTCAACAATCTTCTAGATTCTTCCTGTGCATTTCAGCACCTATTTTGGCAAAATATCTTACAAAAGACCATAGTCAAGGGCCTAAACTTCACAAAGCCAAGGCACCTTTTATGTTCAAAAGACAACTCACTCCTCAATATTTGCAACATGAATTTACTGATAATTTACTGGCTCACATGGCTGATAGTATCATCTTTCCCTGGTTATGTTACCGTACAATACAGTTGGATTTTTTTATTATTATTATTTTTAACAACTATGAAAAAAGTCCTCCTCCCATAAGTCTTGGAGAGCTTCTGTTCTGTTTTTGGACAGTGAGCCAGTTTATAATTTTGAAATATAGCACAATTTTTCTGTTTATCAAGACTTCTAGAGAAGAAGTGACATTTAAGCACCTTTCTAAAACTATATAGCTATATAACAAAATTTTAGCTGTTGATATCATTATACTGTCACCTGATGATAACCAGACATATTTTACTAAAGATTCTTGATAAAATCATCATCATAATAATTGTAATCCACGTTATTCTCTAAAGGATGTTTTTATCTTTGCCCACTGATTAACAGTAGGAGATTAGTGACTAATCATATTCAAAATGAAATCAATATTCCTCAGTTTACAAAACAGACTCTGAAAGTTTTGTGGGGTTTCAATTAATAAATGTTTTGTAAAGGAAAAGTACGAGCATCTGATAAAGAGAGGGACCTGAGGCCTTTCTCACTGGCATGGAGAGCAAAGGCCTTGATGATAATTTAAAAAAAAGTATCATTATCAGATCAGATTTCTTGAGATCAGCCCAGTATACTGATTTTCTAAGTTAAAATAAGCTCAGATTGGAATCTCAAAAATAAACAAATTTGTAGAAGGCTAGGTGAATATGTTTGCACTGTTTCCTGTAATATATGTTACATTTTATACCAAAGATTAGAAAGAAACCACAGACAGCTCTTCAGATCGTGTCATGTGTAGTATCAGTTCACAGCAGGAACTTAAGATGAAAATCTCTAGAGTCAAAGTTCATAAGGAGCTCTAAGAACCCTTCCAGGTGTTTTCAAGGAAATTGATGCAATAGCGCATAGAGATGAAAGAGCAAATATATATTATTTTAAATCATAGCTTCAGGGTTTAAAGCTAAGCTCGGCAGGTACTAGGAGACCCAGCATGGATTTCAAAGCAAATGTACATCTAAAGAAAGCAATTTTTCATTACAGTCATATTTGACATTGTATTAACTTTTTTCTTTTTTTTTTTTTTCTCAGTTTTCTCTTCCTACACTATCACAATCTTTTCTTCCAATACTTCATTAAACAAAAAAAAAAAAAAAAAAAAAAAAAAAAAAAAAAAAAAAAAAAACTCAGCTCAGAAAATCATTTCTGTTTGTCTTTGTGAACTCTTCATTAATTGTTTCCTGACCATGTGCAGAGTTCAGATATAATTCAGTTTAGAACTGGGCATGCCAACAGGTCATGCTCTCCATTTAAAAAATAATAATAATAATAGTGCTATAACAATAACAACTAATGCAAAATTTCCTATGTCAGATGTGTGTTATGAAAAAGAGAATGAAGAGACAAGTACCATTTATACTTCAGACCTGCCATGACATTCTAGAGCAAATAGGATTCTGAAAGCTCCAGTTCTATGGTGATATGAATGCAAGACTGTCATGATATTCTGACAGGCACATATGCAAAACTAATACATTCATCTGGATTTTTGAAAGGAAAACATTTAATCTTTTATACAGTCTTGCTCCTTACTGTCTACAAAAAAAAGGCAGCAGAATATGAGAGCTGCTTGCATCATTTCTCATACCTCTAGACAGACGAACAAATTTATTATACATGCAAAACTCTTCAAATGCACAATATGCACTTTACATGGCTGGAGAGATAACTCTCACATTTGGGTTGGTAAGCTCTTGTTTGTGTGTGCAGATGAGGATTTTATAGACAAATATCTGGAAAAATGGTGGTAATTACGGTTCAATTTGATTTCAGAGAGCACTTTATTGATACTTTTGGATAGCCCACTGATATCTTAGATCATTATGAAGACTTCCAAGATGCTTGATGGTTTTCATATGGATGGGTAGTATGTGTATATAGTTATGGACCTTTGTATTACATAGAAGAGACATACAGCCTCTAATATCATTTACAAATAAAAAATAAGTGTGTAAACTGAGTTATTTGGTTTTTTGTTGTTGCTTTTTCCCTAATATTAGCTCTTTCTTTTTCTGTTATCAAAAATGAAACAAATAACAGTCATTTCACACGAATAGCTTAACACAATCCAGTCCTTTGTTCAGCTACCAGCAAAACCACTTTACAACAGCTCCTTGGAATTTATAGATTTTTCCATTCGCAAATAAACTTTTTAAAAGTTGTAAAAAAAAAAAAAAAAAAAAAAAAAGCTTTAAATAATTAGGAATTGAATGCCTAAGAGAAAAAGTTCTTTGAAAACACACTGAAGACAGAAACTATGATTTTATCACACTTTCCCCTGGGTTTCTGCTACCCTGG